ACCGGTAAAAAGGTTAACTCATTTGCACTGCCTCATAACTTAATAGGAAATACTGTATATCACTTTTTTTTTTTTTATACATAATCTAAAATCTATGCAGAATTATCGTTATACGTACTTGTGGTGTTTGTTGGCTGACTGTATTCCTATTTTGACTATGTACTCTTATCGTATACGTATGCTCTTTTCTATCATTATATGTATATTCTGTTAATATTCTGCAAGGTTATAAATAATTAACAGATATAAATGTTATTTATTTATACGTATTGTTATTTTTTGCGTAATATTTTATACTTTGTCAAATTTTAAAATCGCAGTGATATCCATTCCGATATTGCTGTATTGATATCGATATTGATATACCGATACATGTGTATCTTTCTTAAATTCGCTATTATTATTTATGATTGGTTTGATAAACAAATTATTCGATTGGTTATTTACTTGTTTACCATATGAGTTAATATCTGAATGTCATATTACTTTATTAATGTTTTCTGTGTACGTAGGTAGGGTTCGTTGTCATTATACAAAAATCGTCACGTTTCTAAAACGTGTTAAGTTGCATAACTTTATGTTGTATTACTTAAAATGAACAAATAAAATTAACCTTATTCATATTATTTTATCTAATTGGTTTTCTAAATTATCGTTATGTTTATTATCACGATTTTTTTTTTTCGCTCATTATATCTCGTTGCATGATTTTGGTTTCCTTAACAGGATGACTTCTTCAGCCTTTTTAAAAAACAAAGACTGAGGAAATATTCTATTCGATACGTAGTAATACTATAGAACTTTATTATTTTCTTGACAATGTATGTTTCCTGCCTAAATTCGTGCTATAGTGTTGGTTCATCAAATGCAATATGTGTCTATCTTTCCTCTTTTCTATATAACCAGTATTTTAAAAATCTTATTTCATCATCATTATCGTTAATTAAAAATTTTGGGGTCTTAAAAAATTATTTAATTAAAAATTTTGAATTGCACGGGGGTCTTGTATAACAACCCGACGAATTTGAAATTCTGTAGCATTTAGCATTAGGTAAAAATTTTTAATTTTCATTTTTTTTTTTTCAAAAAAGATGTACATACGTACGCAGTTGAAGACATCATATAACAGATAACGAATAACGGGAAGTCTGTACGTATGTATGATGTCTTCATCTTTTTGAAAATAGTTATAAATTAAATAATCGTATGTACTGTACGTAATAAGATTAAATATACTGTATATAAAGTGATTATTGAGATTATTTAATTAGTGATTGTAAAATTTCTTTTAATTTGAGTTTTTATTTCACTAAGCTCTTATTAAAGTCAATATCAGATATATAAGGTCTCAATAATCACAGTATTCTTACTGCACATGCGCGGAAATTTTTTGTGATTAACGATTCAGATCAGGTCTACCGAATAATTAAATTATCAAGATTTTGTGTCAATAATTTTTGATTAACCAATAAAACTTTTATAATATCGCAAGATGATTTACAAAAATTAGCTAATCACAACGAAAGCCGCTATGCTAGTTGTATCCGTTTATCTGACAACTCAGGTTCATTGGGTTACTCGAATTATTTGAATTAACCCAGAGCCTAATTTTTTAGGCGAGTACATTCTCTACTCAAATCAATAGAAATACGTATATTATGTTGCTGTTGTATTTTTCTAATAAAATATAATAAAAATCTATATCAGGTATCTTGATTATGTAACAATAAGCTTTTTTTAATTATTATTTTAAAAAAAAAAATTTTTCTTAAAAAAAAAAAAAGCTGTGTACTCGTATTACAGATCATCCTTCCATGATATGAAAACCAAGTATATAAGTTTGTATGGCCTTATATAATTTTTATAATTTAATTAAAAGTAAAATTAGAATATATTTAATATTAGGATTAAGAATAAAGATAAAGCTTATATATAGTAAAATTACTTTTTTGATATTTTTTATTAATAATCTAAAACAGGTTTAAATTACTATTTTTAATATTTTTTAACTTTTAATTTATTTTTTATTTTGCTAAACTGATTTGTATAAACAAAATTTTATAATTTTAATTGATAAATTAATACAAAAATATTTTATAAGTATATAGCTTTAAATAACTCTTTAAAAAGAAATTTTTATATATAGAATATTGTTAATTAAACAACTATTTTTATATTTTTGAAAAAATTAAGTCTTTATTAAATTTATGTAAATTTTAATATAATTGCTATTTTTTAATTATAAATAAAAATAAATTTGTATAATAAAAAATAGAAATAATGTAGAAGCAAAATTATATAAAGCTACTTTATAGAAGTAATTATTCTATTAATTTTAAAGATTATTATATGATTGATAAAAAAAATTTTTATATGTTTTACAATACTATTTTAAGGAACTTGTATAATCTATCTTTGCTATAAAAAATAAACAAATATACTAAGTAAAATTGAAGCTTTTATAATATAGTTTCATAATATCAGTTAATCTACTTGAATCTATAAACTTTTATACAATAATAAAAATATATCAAAACTAAAATAATATATAAAATATACTATTACTAAGCTATTAAAATTTAGTTCATTATACAAAAAAAAATATGAATAAACTAAAAATAACAATTTCACAAAGTAAAGTGAGTAGTAAACAAGCTTTTTTTATATTAATTATATTTATTTTATTAGAAATCTTCTAAGTTTAAATACAATAGTTTAAAAACAATTTACTAACTATATACTTTATATATCTTTTTTTTTATTATTAAGATATAATTTTTTTAGAATATAATAAAGAATTTATATCTAATATACATGAGTATATATATATTAGAATTTTAAAAATTTAATAAAGCAATTAGTATTACAAACAAGATGTTTGAGTTTTATTATATATAATGAAATATATACTGAATACTATATATTTTCTGTAATAATAATAATTAAATATTAGATATTGTAAACTAGGAAATGTAACTAGACTAGACTCTATCTGAGATCATTTGGACAATCTGCTGTATATATTTTAGTTATACCAATTCTTGACTTTTATAGGGATCCTGGTATTATAATCATTATAATAATTATAATAATTTTAATAATTATAATAATTATAATTATTATAATTATTAAAATTCTTATAATCATTATATTAATTATAATAATTTCAATTATTATAATTATTAAAATAATTATAATATGTATAGTGATTATAATCATTATAATCTATATAATGATTATAATAATTATAATTGTTTAAATTATTTAAATTATTAAAATCTGTATTATATTTTATTTTATATAAATAAAGAGCATTTCACTCCCTTTACTCAATATTGAATACTTTGTAAGATAATTCGAATAATAAATTATCTAGTGTTCTATTTCTGATCCCAAAAATTTCTAAATATATTTCACTAAATTATTTATTTAGTCTTTTATATATAAAAACTTTTACTAAAATTATAAACTCAGACTACTATATAAAAGATCTGGAGTTCAAATCCCACTATCAATGAATTTGAATAATTACCTAAACCTTTATATTCAACTTATGGTAAACTCTGTCTGTTTCTGAGGTTGTAACTCTGTAAATCATATTGTATCAATATTAATCAGATATTGGAAGTATGACATGATGCTCAGAGAGATATAACATTATATGAATAAATCTTAATAGGATCTATAAGCAGAGAACCTGCATAGTAGAAATTCTAAGTTTAGTAAAGTAGTATAGATTTTGATGGTCATACTGGTTAATGCTTAATTCAGTAGTATGAAAATACAGATCGAGTAGATGTGAGTAAGTCTATTTTACAGAGAGAAATAGCAATACCAACTTGGCTTAGTGGCTAACTAGATTTGGAAGAATCTCTTCATAAAACATTTGAAGGACTATTGGTGGAGAGCTACAGTAGGAACTGGGTTCATACGAACATTAATAAGAGTACAAATCTCTAAATAGACTATAAAATGAGCATAGAAGATTCTGAGGTAGAGGCCTAGTTCGTGGGTAAAGTAGCCTATAGTTCTGTATATACCACATATTTAAGTTAGTATTACAGAAAAAGCATTGAAAATCAGAGGGCTTAATTAGGGAATCTACAAGCAGATCTTAGGTATAGTAGTTAGTAAGTAATCTTTAGGTCAAACCTTTAAATAGATAATAACTAAAATTGTATGTATAGCTAATTGTGACCTCATTAAAATGCAAAATGTAGTACTCTTCTATTTAAGTATAGGTTGTAAGTCTTAAATAAATAAATATCAGGACATAGAACTTCCTCTTTAAATAGTAAAAAAAAAATTATAAACTCATTTCTGTAATAATATCATATTATCTATTTACTCTTTAAACAGAATAAAGTATTATTAAGTCATTTGATTAAAAAGAACTTGCTTTCTGAATCTTGTATTTGACTATCCTAAGAGAGAGAATAGGTCAACTTGAATAGATTGTGGAAAGTTAAGTGAATTAATAACCTTAAAGACCTACTATATGACTGGAGTCTGAATAATAACTAAAGCTTTAGAAATCCTTTTGCTTAATCACTATGCTATCTTTTAATAGTTTATATTAAAATATTACCAGAAGATCTATAAGATTGAGTAACAGATTTACTGTTTTCTAGTATAACATTTTGGTAGTGATTATGAGATTTGATATGACCCTAGTAGATTGACACATTTTAACTCTTGATACAAAAAAAACTAAAGGATACCTAAAAAGAGAAGATAGAATTAGTATTTAGAAATAAAATAAAAAAACAACCAAATTTAAGTATACTTGCCTAAGGAAAACAGAGATGGAAATATATACTAAATGACTTAACTTAGATGTTAGCAAAGCCTGATGAGATGTAAATCTAAAATATGAGATTAAAATGGCATCTAGTAGAACCAACATTACTAATTAGACAAGTGGTATTGTTGAAGTCAAGAAAAATAATAATTTCAGTTAGGACTCTAATTTAGAAATTAATGAAGAAAAACAAAGTATTAGCAAAGAAAATATAGAAACAGACCTTACCTCACTCAAAGAGATAAAAACTGAAACCAAGACTACAGAGGAAGAAGAACTTAAATTAATAAACAAATCTATAAGTAAGTCAGAAGATAGTAATAATTCAGACTTATTAGAAACAGAACTAACCACTCAAATACTAATAGAGAAAAACACAGAAAGACTACTAGCACTTGAAAAAAGAGTAGAATTCATTAATATTCTAGTAATTCTATATCAAAAGATAACCTCTAGAAGAAGACAGCAGTTAACTTTTTATACTCAATATGTTGAGTATAATAATACATACTTCATTTATACTCATCCTACTCTTGGAAGTTATTTCACTATAGGAAAGTTAAAGCTAAGAGAGGCTATTTACTTAACTAACTTTTGTGAATACCAACTTGTTGCAAATAATTTACTTGATCTTTTAACTCTATGCAAGTGAGTTTTAGAAGCATATCAATAAAAACAAATTCATATGGCCTATTTGAAAACCTAAAGTAGATCCTATTAAAAAAATAATAAAAAATAAAGAAGAATGAATTGATAGATGTAACAAAAAAAAATATATAGGATAGTCATAATAGTAAAGTGCAAGAGAAAAGAAGCACTTTACAATAAAAAGAAAATAAGAGAAGAACTAGAAAAAGAAATTTACGAAGACTTATCTGAACAAGATAAAAAATCTAAGAAATAACTTATTTCAAACTTCACTAGGTAGACTGTGGAAAGAGAAAATAAACTGATAATAAAGAAAATAGATTAATAAAAGAAATCAGAACAAAAACATGAAAGTTTATCTAATAAGCAAATAAAGAAGCTTATTAAATAGACCATGTAACTGATACTTTTGAGAAACATAAAAAACTATTAGAAAATTCTTGAAAAAGAAAGTGAAATAAAAATTTTTTTTTAAAAAAAAAAATAATATAGAAGAATCTTAAGGATAGAAAGAAGGAAAGGATATATCTATACTGATAGCCTGAATCTGTATAAAAGTGTAACTGATAGATCAAAGGAAGACTCTAATTCAAAAGAATTGGTTAAGAAATAGTATTGAGAGACTTATAAGCTATATATAGACCCTGGTATTGGTGAGTAATAAACACTGTATGGTGCAAACGGCCTAATCACATCTAATTGCAGATTCCCGCTGAAAATTTTGTCGATCATTAATATATAGGATGATATAATATGATTGGTTAGTTATCTGTTAGTAATTTAGTAATCCGATTAGATTTCAACAATATCACGGCTAATTTTAGCCTATATGATTTGACTTTTTTTTTTCTGAGACAACTTTTACTTTTTCTTGTCTAAACGTACATACAATATCTTGAATTTCGTGCTGAAGTGCACAGTATACAGACTAATATAGTCAAATGAAGTCAGTATAAAAACCAAGTCTGTAGTCTGTAATTCACCAAGCCACAAGGCTGGTAATTCATTGAAGCTAGTGTAACTTCAGGAAGCTTACAATACTGATATAAACTATAAGGTCAATATAACCTACAAGGTCAGTATAACCCACAAAGCCAGTATAATCCACAAAGCATATACATATAGTCAAAGTTAGCATAAAGTTACGAAAATAACACAAGAAATTAGACACTTATCTGTTACAGTAACCTTGAATTTTTTGATGCCTAAACGAAGCAAGCATTCTAGAAATTGCCAAGTGGCCATTAGGAAGCAGTATTTTAATATTAGGTTAAATAAACCTTCTAAGGTGCCTGATGATGACTAATTTGTGGATAATTTAGAAAGTGTTAAACCAAGTATATTGGAAAAACTCATAAATAATACAAAACATCTGGAAGTATGGAAAATGAAAGGACAGAAACGGATTTATATGAGCTTTGCTCAATCAACCCTTCGCAATAAAAGAGCGGCCTTGAGAAAAGCTGCATCGGGCTCTAACAAGATTACAGATTGGATTTCTTATGACCTCTCAGATAGCGGTACAAAAAATTCTATAAACAATATTCACAATGTTGAAAATGAGAATGAGTATAATGATATTTTATTCTATGACTCCAGTAATAATGAAGATGGTAAATTTACCTTGGAGTCATTAGATATTATGTTAAAAAACAACTCAGATGATATACGTCTGCGTATAGTAAGTCAATTTCTTCACCTTGTTGAAGACTAGGGTTTTTCTAAAATAACTGCTAGTGAAATTCCTTCTCAGAGCGTTAACAGAGGTCCATGGCATGCAAGATTAATATGTTCATAGGCTAATAAGTTGTTAAAAAGAGGAGAACTTCATAAATCATGCTGTGGTTAGCATCCAAAATTCAATTCTCTTTTACAATACGAAGATTTTAAGTCTTATATTGTTCAATATTTGCATGCTAATAAGTTTACAATAACAGTTAGCCAGTTTATAAATTTTATTGAAAATAATGCTATACCTGCCTTTGGAATCGAAAAAAAAAAAAATTTCTGAGACAACTGCTCATATATAGTTGCATCAACTAGGGTAGGATTATAAGGATCATTCGAAAGACATTTATTTCAATAGTCACGAACGTGACGATATGGTTGCTTACAGAAATCAATTCTTAGAACAAATGGCTGTTTTAAGACCCAGAATGGCGACATATGAAGGAGAAAGTATGGAACAGGTTGTTTTACCTAACCTTCCATCTAATATCTCTGAAATTATTCTAGTTACCCACGATGAATCTGTGTTCTATGCTAATGATGGTATTACCAAGACATGGGGTCCTGCAAATGAACACCAAATTCAACGAAAGTCACAAGGTTTAAGTATTCACGTTAGTGAATTTATTTGCGAATCGATTGGGCACCTTTGCCTTTCAGAAGAAGACAAAGTCATGAATGACCTTCTCCCCAATGATGAGCGAATTCCATATAATGAGGCATATGTTGTAATGTACCTGGGTTCTAATAGAGATAGTTGGTAGACACATAAGGACTTTATGAAACAAGTGGTTGAAAGAGCCATTCCAATTTTTGAACAAATGCACCCTGGTAAAACTGCACTCTTTATGTTCGATAACAGCTGCTCTCATAACGCATATGCCAATGATGCCTTAGTTGTTTTACAGATGAATTTAAAAGATGAAGGCAAGCAACCTCTACTTAGAGATGGAAAAATGCCTGATAGCTCTGTTCATATAATGACATTTGTAGATGAGGATGGTATAAAAAAACCAAAAGGGATTCAACGTATTCTTGAGGAATGTGGCCTGTGGATAGAAAATTTACAAAAGAAATGTGAGTCATGTAAATTGCATATTTTTGACTCAACAAATGAGCAATATTGTGCAACTCATATTCTTAGTTGTCAGCCTGATTTTATGTCTCAAAAAAACCATTTAAAAGAAGTTATTGAGGCTGCTGAGCATATATGCATCTTTTACCCCAAATTTCATTGTGAGCTCAACTATATTGAAGCATTTTGGAGAGATGTAAAATGATATGCACATTTACATTGTGGTTATTCATTTAAAAGCCTCAAAGAAACCGTCCCACAAGCATTGAATTCTGTCACTTTGGCCAAGATCCTTCGGTTTGCACGCCGATCTGAGCGATTTATGAGTGCTTATGCATATGGTCTTTTAGGTAGAGCTGCCATCTTTGCGGTAAAGAAATACTGGTCACATCGCTGCGTTCCACTAAGCATTTTGTATGAGTTTGGTCATTTAAATTCTTCCAATTAATGAAAAAAAATAAAGAAAAAAGAAAATAAAGAAAAAAAAAGAAAAAAAAAAAAAAAGAAAAAGAAAAAGAAAAAAAAAAATATAATTTTTTTTGCAATCGAATTGGTTAGATTATGAGGTATTCAGAAAGTATTAAAAATTTTAGAAATTACTTGCAGATTCAAATGAATCATTAGATATAGAACCAAATAACGGATTTGCATTACAAGCAATTATAATGTATCACTTGCAAATTTAAAATAAGAAAATTTAGTCAATCTGAATATTAATCAGGGCTCAAATGATAATAAATAAAGGTGCCATTCATCTTTTAATTTGCGATTGTTATTCAAATTTATTTAAACTTTAAATTTATTTTATGGTGTTTGATTATTCAAGCCATACAAAATCTTATTGAACGCGAGTTTATGTTTTTTTTTTTTTTTTTTTTTTGCTAAAAAGCAAAATGAAAATTTATAATTTTTCATCATAATAAGATCGACCAAGTTAGGCCATTATAACCTTGGATACAATTATTTATATAGAATAAGAATTGAAAAGAATGAACATAAAGTATTTAAAATTAGCAGAGATTGGAAATGCTAGTGAAGCATTTCAGGTTGAATATATTTATTATGAAGGAATTGGAGTTGAAAAGGATAAATGTAAGGCATTTATTTATTATCAAAGATCTGTTGAGTTGAGTAGAGTAATGGAGTTTTGCACTTGGCAACTGTTATAATCATGAAGTCAGTCAAAAAGAATGGATATAGAGCATTCACTTATTATCAAAGTCTGCTAATCTAGATAATGTTAAAGAAATAAATAATACTGGTTATTTTTATTATGAAGAAATTAATTAATAGGCATTTATTTATTATCAATAATATAGAGTTTTTGCCTTGAAAATAACTTTACAGAACATAGTAAATCATATGTCCAAACTTGATTTTCACTCCATATGCAGAAATAGGGAATACTAACGCTAAGCATGGGGAATATATTTGTAGTCATGATTTTGATTGGTTGTAAAAATTTAACTAATCAAAAAAGTTTTTTTTTAATGCTAAAAATTGGATCAAATATTATTAAGTTATATTTAAAATTGCCTTTTAAAATTTTTTTACTGTTAATTAAATTATTAATAAATTTAATAAAAAATACATTAAATTATAATTCTTATTAAAATCTATTTTGTAATGTATTTTTTTTTCTAAATATATATATGAAATAATATTTTTTTGCAATCCAAATTATTTGATATGACTAGGCCGTTTGCACTATACCTAGAGAAAAGATGCTATAGATACCAAATTCTTGAAGACATAGATGAATCTGATCAGACAAAAGACAATTGATGCCTATTGATATTTAGATTTGATGTTTGTAGAACTCACATCTAAATGTGAAAGAATGTGAACTGGGAAATGTGACTAGGACAGACTCTATCTGAGATCATTTGGACAATCTGCAGTATATAATTCAGTTATACTAATTCTTGATTTTTATAAGGATCCTGGCATTATAATTATTATAATGATTATAATGATTTTAATAATTATAATAATTATAATTATTATAATTATTAAAATGCTTATAATCATTATACTGATTATAATAATTACAATCATTATAATTATTAAAATAATTATAATGTATATAGCGATTATAATCATTATTATCTATATAATAATTATAATAATTATAATTGTTTAAATTATTTAAATTATTCAAATTTGTATTATGTTTTATTTTATATAAATAAAGGGCATTTCACCCTCTCTGCTGAATATCGAGCACTTTTGCAAGATAATTTGAACAATAAATTATTTAGTATTCTATCTCTAACCTATAAAATTCCCAAACATATTTCGCTAATTTACTTACCTAGTCTTTTAATTGTAAAAACTTTTGCTAAAATTATAAACTTAGTCCCGTGATAATATTATGCTATCCATATTACACTTTGTAATAGAGTAATCATCGTTGTATTATTGAGTAAGGTATAACTTGCCATTTAATTTTAGTTTGACTATCCTGAAGGTAAAAGATAAGGTCAGTTAGTTGATTAAGAGAAGTTAAGAGACTTAATAACAAAAGAAGACCAACCATATGATCTGAGTCTGAATGATAACTGAAGCCTTGAGAATCCCTTTGCCTAATCACTATGCCATCTTTCAATAGGTTATATAGAACATCACACAAAGATCCATAAGATTAAGCGACAGACTCACTATTTATAAGGACAACAATATGTATAACTTCATAATAACAAATTAATAAAATCTAATTAGTTTCATACCTATAGCATAAGAATATACTAACAGTAGAGGAGCAGTCTAGTAACAAACCTAAAACAGTTATCACATACCGTAACAAAAAATCAAAGGATGACCTAGGCTTAATTAACACGATCATCTCAGAAACCAATATCCAAAACAAATTAGTAGAAATTTACCTACAAACCAGCTATAGCAGGCACATAACTACAAGACTCAATACAAAAACTATAGCAGATACACTTACATCGACAGCCTACTCAGTTGCATACTGGAGTATACCAAATACTAATATCAGTCTCACTATTAAAAATAGTATATGGCCGAGTAGCACCCATGCAATGTTGATAGCAGTAATAACAATTATGCTAATACTGCCTAACAGCAGCAAACTAATATTGATTTCACCATCAAAACAACTAGATAACTTCTTCAAGAAACTAGCTATATATGATCATCATATAAGGAACAAACTTATAAAACAAAAAGAAGGGCCTCTCTGGCTAACAATATATACACTCTACTATAAAAAACAACTAGAAGTCATCATAGAGGTCCCGAACTCAGACCCTGAAATTAAAGCGAACTACCCACTGGAAGTAACTCTCAACTTCAACAAAACCAGATACGATACTTTTTATCTTCAGTGGTATAACAACACAATTATACACAAACCTAGATGGTTCATCAGACATATAAATAATGCTACTCACCTAGCAGAATGGCATTCCCAAAACAGAACCTGCCTATGGGGCCTATATAAAGAAGAAATCGATTGGAAATCAATAGTAGAAAATATTAATTATAACTGTTCACCAACAAGTAGAAGTACAAATCCCAAGTACTCTACTCTCAAGGTATTCAAAATTAAACTTCTTCTCGATGAACTACCAGTAGCAACTAATCTAGAAAAAAGAAATCCACAAAAATATAAGTCCTCACTCTGCAGAAGATGTAATGACTTACCAGAAGACAACTGGCATTGGATTACCTGTCAGAAAAATACTATCTCTTTAGAACAGATTATAAACAAAAGCATCTACGCAGTACTAGG